CCGACTAGCAATAAGAAGGCTAACGCACTACGTACAAAGGGTGTCGCCCTCGTGAACAAAGACAGCGTGCGTAAAGTTAAACCGCAGTATCTAGCCAGTCAGGTCGTACACCCTTGGAAGAATCTCTCGCTGTTTGCGTCTCTGCTGTAGATGCATTGCACTCGGACAGTAGAATGCGCGACCACAAAAATGTTTGAACGATAAGACGACCGACTCCTCGACATATAACATTCTATGTAATTGCACAACTGAACGTGAAACGCATTGTTCTCGTGATCTTTAAGCATTAACCAGAAACAAAAGCAAAGACACTGTTTCATTAAATTGTAATGAAATAACAATAATAAAATATTAGTTTAACACAAAGTAAATCAATAGGATTCTATTATTATAGCTCGTCACAAATAATGTGTTCTTTTAAATATTCGAGTTAATTTATTAATCAAATGTTTAACTAAAAAAGCAAGTGATTTAAAAATAAAATTATATATATTCTCTAATAAAAAAAATATTGATAAAAGTTAATTATTATTTTCAGTGTATCAGCAGTATGAAACTCTTTGCATATTCGAAAAACTAAAAGACATCCTGCTCGTTAAAAGGAAACAGAATAGATAGAATAGCTAGATGAAAACACATCAACGACACAAGATGCATCATTCTCCAGGGTGACGTTCCAGAAATAACTCAAGACATTGCGGTCCAATCGCGGCTGCTTTCGTTCATCAGTTCAAGGTTAAAAGCGCGTCGCCATCGCGTGGTGGCTGCAACTTCCATGGGACCAAAATACATCCCCTCACTGATATATAAATACAACGTTCGAAAAAAAAAAATCGAAGGAAAGGATGCGCTGACGACGTATGCCGATAACCTTTCCTTTCCTCAGACGCGACGTCGCGATGGCTACATATACAGGAAACAGATCAGATTCATCAACGATCTAAAGATATATTTAAATAAATTCACGAACGATAAGAGTTAAGAATCATGTCTCGTTTAAGTACAGAAGATCTATGAGACCTGATACATGTAGAGATCTAATCTAAATTTGATTCAGTGAAATCTGAAACTTACGAGGGCTAGTATTTCTCTATGAGTCATGTAATCTGCGAAATTTAAGAGATAGATTTCAACTATGTAAGTATATATAAATAATAATGTAAAAAATATATGTGCGTATAAAATCATGAATAATCGACAGACGTCATTGTGCAGTAAGTATCGAAGCGAGCTCAACCGTCACGCATGGACGTGTTGCGTGCCTGTGAAACGAATTAAACATTCCGTGATCGACGAACGCGATGAGGTTATCCGCAATAGATGCATTGACCTTTACAATGGATACACCCCGGCGTGTCGATGACACTGTGTTCTATAAAGATACCCTGAGGAGGTAGGGCCTTTCAGTCTTTGTCTCGCTCTCGTCCGGCAGTCGTTGAACCCGAGTGTTGGGGACAACACACTTTGAACTATGCACGAACGTAAATTAACTGCAATAACGCGAGTCCTTCCAAAGGATACGCGTCGCCGGTGTGTGCAGGACTCTTTTTCCCCGTATGAAAGTCGGCAGAAATTAAATTACTCGCGATACGTTAATCTATTTTATATTTATCTCTCGTATATCGCACGTTGACTCTTCATGTTTTTCGTGATGTACTACTTTCTTGCAATGTTTACTGCAGATGTCATTGTTCTTCGCTCATTCACCTCCTACGAAGGTCACACGAGCCGCGTTAGCTTCTTTTATGATAACGCGAGAATAAAACATTATATCTTATATTTACTCAACAATGATTAAATAAACCTTTAGTAGGCAATTGAGAGATATTTCACACGTGTATCTAGCGCTACTTTATGAATTGGATAACTAATTATACATTACAACATAATTAGTAATAATAGACCAGACTGAATATTTGAGATGATAACGATAAAAGGAAGAAGACGCGATAACACAGAAGCGAAAGGAAATCCACCTAGGATTCGCGATGCGATGAAATTCGCTACGACATACGTATTTTGTTCTCGGTATCGGCGCGAAGGTGCAATGCACCTACGTGCAGCCGGGTCAAGGTCGTACTCCTCGTGCGCCGGGCCGGCTGAGTCATTCGTGCAGAATCGTGCATGCACAGAGTGCTAGGCGTGCGAGTGCATCGAACCCGAGATGACCGTTGCAGCTGCAAGCGCGATGCTGGTAGCCCACTTCGGTCGTTCCCGGTGTATGTCGGCTGCCTTCGGTTGCATTCCGCGTGCATCAACCCAGGAGATCAGCATCGAGAAGCGCCGTCGAGTGCAATGCCCAATATCGCGTTCGCGCGAACAGCTGCGCGAACGCGAGACGGAGAGGAAGACTCTCGAAGGAGGCGCGTCAAGGAGAAGAAGAAGCAGCGACGAGAGAGAAACGGCGGAGGAAGAAATGCAGGATCGTGGACCGCGAGCGGCATCCGCCGATCGGAAAGCCGAAGGGATGCGTTCGATAGAGAACAGCGCGTCAAGTTGCCGCAACTGCAACTTTGTCGGATGCAGCGAGAAAATTTTCCATTTGCCTCTTCTTACGTCGTGCGCCGAGTATCCTTAAACGTTTCTTAGATTTCCGGATTTCGAATCTCGTAATAAATTTTCAAATTTTCGATTCCACGCGAGTGTTCGTCGAATTCGCAAAATTTCATAGATCTTCAATTACTTCAACTTTATGATCATTAAATATAAATTTCTTATGTAATCGATGACATTTCTACGAGCTTCTTAATGATCGCGGCAAGACTGTGTAGGCGGGTATTGTTACGTTATGGCGAAAGTTCGTTACTGCGGCGACCTTACCTAGAGACCTCGGATGCCAGTTCATGATTTTGCTTATGTTTGAGAGACGCTGCAAAGGGCCGATGCACCAGTCAGGGTGAACGTTCTCCTCGCGCTAGCTCGCTCGTCGGCTTTGTAGAGCGTGGCAACGCGCGCGCATACACGCATCCAGGCGCGTCGTGCGTACGTGCCTACCAACTTCCAGGGATGGCTAATGCTTCTCTGATCGAGATATATCTGCTACCAGTTTCCTACTTCCAACAGTTCATCTGAACTAGTTTTCTTTTTACTTTATAGATTTTGCTAACGATTTTTTTTACTTTATATTCTTTAGCTCAAAGTCATTAAATCTGAGAATTTAGAGAACCAATAGATAATTACTATTTAATGAAGATGATTTTTTGTCTTTTGATATAACGAGAGAGGATAAAATTATATATATTATAATATATAAAAATTTTTAAGAGTATTTGCGCCCATTTACCAAAATAATTTTTCATTCTGTGTATATAAAAAAATAATAACAATTGCTTAACCAAAAAGAGAAAGCAAACTTTCATCTATACATCATCTGCATTATACTACTTTATTCGTTATATAAATAATATATATACAGAATTCATTTAAAACTACTTATCAAAGGAGTGCTGATAGTAAAAATTATTAATATATTGATAAGAGCACATAGAGAGAATTGGTCAGATGATTATATTTAGGACGAATGAGAAATTTAAGGGCCAACGTTTAGCCGAACAATTTACCCGGCCCTGAAAGCATTACGGCGAGTGAAACGCCCGAGAGTGGACGTTGCATATGTGCAAAACGGGCGCAGCGCGGGGCGAGGAAAGAGAAAAAGTCCATCACGGGAAGAGGAGCAGGAGGGAAGAGGAGGAGGGCACGCGGTGCGACGTCGGGGGCGGAGGGGGAGTGCATGGGACACCGTGTGCAGCACTCGTGCTGCACGCGTTTCGCATGGCCACGGGGTTCACTGTCCCGAGCCAAGGCCGCAGGGGCACCGCCCCACTGAACCAATTGTGCCACTTTTATGCTCGTCGACTCATTTTCGTCGAGTTTTATTACTTGCAATACGTGTGCGCCCTCCTCCTCCTCCTCCTCCTCCTCCGAGCACGTGCATTACGCGCGTACGTAGATGGCTGACTGCTACTTGTCCTGGTGCGAGTGTTTGGCGCGTGCAGCGCGTTACGCGCTTTCCAGAAAAAAGCGATACCCACTGATACGTAAGAAAAAGAGCAGATGAAAAAAGCGAGTCTCATAAGAGATAAGACCGGCATTGAAATATGCTGCATCGGTTAATATTGATTACAGTTAATCCGCTGACGCATTGACGCATCTAATTAATGGGACCTTGGATACGCTTTTTTTTATTACTGGATTTTTCTATTACTTATCTTTCTCATATAGTTCCTTAACATTCTCTTAATTTGCATAAACTATTCTATTGGAAACATATCTTTTATATATTTTGTAATGTAATTGTATTTTAATTGAAAGTGTTTTTTTTTTTATCGATAGTGCATGCTAAATAAATGCGTGAATTACAAATAGATGAGAGATAAAATTTCATTCAAAAATATTTTTTAGATTGGCCAAACACAGTAAGCGTGCATACTTTCGGTGGAACATCGCCAACGATCGAAAATGTGTCATGGATCTTCCAGTCGTAACGCCTCGCGCTCACGGATTTGCGAACCCCGGGAAATGCGTTTGAGTTTGCGAACCCCCAGACTGGAGGGGATTGACCCAGACACCCCCTCCAGCAGACGATTCTCCCTCTACCGGGTAGCTGTAGCTGCTTCTAGAACCCTACGCTATAGTCGATGAAACGAGGGTGCAAAACCCCGTCTGCTTGATAAACCGTTGCACCGCCCAAGTACGATAAACGCGATATCGTTTATCCATTCGTGAAAAAAAAATTCAGCCCGTACTGTACACTCGCGTATTGCCCCTCATATGAAATTGTACTTTTTTTCATATTTTATGAAAGCGATTAAATTGCGAATCATCGAAATTAAATTATCTCGTATTGCTTTTTTTCCGTTGGAATTAACATACAATTATTTATTATCTCATCTGAACATAGTTAGAGTTATTTCGGTTTTAAGATTCGTATTCAATTAATCTGACTGTATTTAATTAAATTTTATTTAATTAATTTGGCTTAATATAAATTATAAATATTGTATTGGCTTGTAGTGTTTTATATTTTGACTTTGTCATAATCGAGAGCTTTTCTCTTTAATTTTGTTTAATTGGTATATATAGTTATGAATAGTAAAATGATAAGTGACTCACGTTAGAGTACATCTATATTGATCTCTCAGCAGACACAGTTGCAGATGATTGGTGTCAGAAGCCATCAGGTGAAGCATTCGTAGAAACATTCTGCAAAAGAAAAAATGAATCTAATTAGAAAAAAAAAAATCTTTGTTATACTATTTATTTGATAAAAAAACGAACTATATTTTCCCACTGACTCAATAAATTATGAGCGATTAAAACGCTCGCGTGTTTAAAATACATGTACGTAGATATATGTCATGTAATTATAACATTAACAATCAGAGTATAATACTATCGTGATGTTTTACAGCATGACATCTTAGGATTACTCTTTGCACTTTCTCCATTAATTAAAATTAATAGATGTTATTAGAGAGAGCGCAAGGTGATCGCCCACGTTGGCACGAAAGCGATCAGTTTTGCATCGGGTGTTTCCCTTTCGTTCTCATTGAGATTTATGATTGTTAACGAAGCAAAGTAATATTTATTAAGAATCTTTATTAAGAAAATATTCAACATTGAAAATCGCTGGACAGACATCGCCTGTCATGCGTCGTGGAATTAAATTAGTTTGTAAATTGAGGTAAACTAAATTAACGAGGCAGGGAATACGCGAAGCAGTTCGTTATTATGAGCGAGACTCCGCGCGCATAAACAATCGGTGCATTTCAGTGTCATGGTTCGTATAACGTTCGACAAAGCAGGGGTTGCGAACCCCAGGAAAGTAGCCAGCCAGACAGACAGACTAACGTGAAAGGGGGTGATCCAGACACCCCCTCCACCGGGCTGTTTGCAAGCGACTCGACTACCGCATTGGTCTGTGCAAGTGGTGGTAAAGTATCACGATGGAAGGGCGGTGTTATAAAAAAATGATGCGACGACATCGAAGGGGTGACTACTGCGTTTCATCATGGCGCCGATAATAACGATCGTTTAATATTATAATTATCGCAATCAATATATAATAATTTTCGCAAAGTTGTTATGATTTCTGCATTCTAATTCAAATCAATTATAATTAACTTGCAAAAATTCACGATTAAAAAAATACAAAAAAATATCTTTTATTTCTAATTATTATATTTTAATATCCATTAACGGGCACTTTTTTTCTCGAGGAAATAATTTCGCGTCGATAAGGGAATTAAGGACAAGTCTGAAAAGAGAGAGAGAGAGAGAGAGAGAGAGAGAGAGATAAGTTACAAAGACTAGGTCTACAGAAAGAGAGTGGATATGTTTATCGTGATCCCTAAATGCGATTACTTATATATTATACTTAATGATAAGCACCTATAAGTCTTTTTTCTTCTTATATATCGAGGAGAAGCATTATACGTGGAAACACACAAGAACGATCCCTTGTCGCAATAACTATTAAGAATCTCGGTAGATTCGCGAAGATGGCACGCCCTGGCACTAGTGAGTGAGGACAAATAAAGGACAACGAACGAGGGAGACGGGTAGAGAAGGGCGGCATAGTTCTCTCTTTCTCTGTCTTTCTCTCTCTCTCCCTTTCTCTCTTTCTCTCGCTCTTTCTCTCGATGAGGAGGAGGGTTAGGAAGGAAGGGCAGACGTACCTACATCGAGCTTGGCGAGGGCGGCGAGAGGACGAGGGATGGCAGCCAGGGTGGAAAGGGAAAAGCGGGAGGGACGGCCGTGGTGTTGCTGACCCGACGACCGCTGTAACCTTGCGTCCCGACGCCCCGCATCCAGATCAAACGACCCCGTGCATCGCTCGAAGGTCTTCGAGTCCTAGACCAATAGATATTTCCGTACATCCCTCCTCCCTAGGTTAACCTCACGCTCGTTAGACCGAAAGCCAGAGCACGCGCTTCGTACTTTCTATTTTATTATTCTGTAAAATAAACGTACGTGCGTTTTATAAAAACACAGGTTGTTATCGTTATACTGACCGTAAATAGTTTATTTCGTGTATGAAATTACATTAATTCAGTATAAAACGAGGCACTTTTCTATCTTTATCAATATCAAAACAGGATATATATCCCAGTAATTCAATTCTTTATTTATGTGCTCTCTGCTAGAAATGACTGACTCGAAAGAATCTATGACAGAAACTTATACAAGATTCTTGAATTCTTAAATCTTTGATTTTTAAATTTTGACTGCCTATCTTTCAATTGCTTTTCTCAATATATTAGTATCGTTAATATATATCTTTTCTTTACCTGGTTTTAACTTTGATCCTTCGTTGAAAAAATGTGGAATCCGATGACTCTGACTCCGAGACTAAATTAGCGCGAACAATATAAACGGCACGCATGCGCGCATGAAATAATAAAATGATTATTGTGCGGATTTAACGCGCCATCTCGCATGTAATATGAAAACTGAGCAGTTTCATATTTATCGACAATTGATCTCGTTGCAAGTATCGACTCTTTATGGTATCGATGTTGTGAACCGTCGAATACACGTGCCATCAGATGGCATGACAGAAATATAAATTATTTAATTTATCAGTTACAAATTATTTTTATTCTTAACAAAATTATGTGACGAAAGTTTGATAGATATGATGATTATGATTACTAAAATAATCCAAGAGATTATATAGAGTCCATTATTTTAAATATATATACGCATACATATAAAATAAATAAATAAATAATAAATATATACATGTTTGTTCTCTTCATTACAAAATCTGAAATATTGCTTCTTTTATTTTCACGTGACAATGGGAGCTTTCCAACAAGAAAACGCAAATAGACATAATATAATATTACGCAATTGACTATTAAACTATTATAAATACAGAATTTGTAAAGACCCTAAAATTTTTCTATTTGACAACTATAATCTCTCATATGATATTGTGTTTGTGTGTGTTTCTTGTTGGAAAGCTTCCCATGTATAAGATCGTGATTGTACTTACAATACTGTAAATTTATATTAATAAAGTGTATCTTTCTCTGCTGCGTTAGAAATGCGTACAAGCGTAACGATATATACCTAGCAATATTATTTCAGGCTTGTGATTATTTACTTCGCTACTCGAAAATCAACTAGTTCCTTTCTAACCGCCTAGTTTCGCTAGTTACATTTACTAGCTATACACAGGATACTACCCAATACACTAGCGGCAGTACTAGGGAATCGTGTCTCGACGCGATGGCCAATCAGATTACCACTTTTCCGGAAATAATGAAACGTAACGAGTGGCGATTGGTCGTTGCGAGCGAAAATCTGCCAATAGGATTGACGCGACATGCGTGCACGAGCGTCGAAGATCGGTGTTGAAGAATCCGCGGCGCTTACCGAAGTGGCCATGTTCGCATTCCGTTGCTTGGAAATACACTATTAGCACGTGGCGTGTGCTCGCAGAAAATTCGCGACTAGTCGACCATCCGGTGAGTCGGAAACCTTCTTGGATGCGTCCAGCCGAAGCGCGCTACTCGTCGCAAATCGATCGTAGCCTCGCGAACATTTAACGACACCGGTAAGTAAATATCCGATATCCGGCAACATTCCTTCCTGCTCTCTCTCAACGGCTTTGGCTATCTGGCGGCGGCCGATTTCTGTTATCCTCCTGTTTACGGGTCAAGACGCTACGAAGCACGGAAATAAGCTGTATAATTAACGAGGGACAATTGCAATCCTTCACGTGGAGCCATCGGCAAGCGATCAGAGATCGGTATAAATATTAAAATCACCGATCGCACGCTCGCGTATGCCAGACTTTTCTTATTTCTAGTCGGATTCTTTAAACTAGTATTCGAGAATATGCTCTCTCTATACAGCTTGTGCATGATACATACACATGGAGATCTATTCATCTGCTTATTCTCCAATTACATCTGCTTCCCGGCTGCTTCTCATAATTGTTAGATTGTTGAATATTGGTGATATCGTATTTTTTTGGACTTGCTATTTTTTTTATGTTTATTATATCGTATTTTCGTAATTTGCTTTGTCCAAAATTCTTTTTATCTATATTATATGTATGTGTAGAATTACCAAATTAACACTTTGTTTTGTATAATTTTAACTTTTTTATACAATTTTAATATAAAAATGTAAAATCCTCTCGTGTGTATTTAAATAGTACAGTATCTAGGTAATAGTCTAGATTCTAGGTGTTCTATATATAAACAGCATGGGAAAGAGAGGAAGAGAGAGAGAGAGAGAATAGACATTGTATATTGAGCCTCTAAGCAGCAATATTGTGTCTTTTTTATCTAAATTATATTAAGAGTACATTTATATATATTTAATCAAAAAGTCTCCGTACATTTTAGTTAACTTACATCTTTAGTGTTTTATAATTTTGATTCAATTTTTAGTTAAAGAATGTAACAAAAATGTTTCATATATATTTATGGGGAAAATTATTTATTTAAGATTACAAAATCTCTATTCCTTTTTGTGACAATATTAATAAATTATTATTAATCTAACATTTGTTTTTATTATAAATAATTCTATTGTGTTATAGCAGAGACAATACTGTTGCATTCTAGTAATATTGATCTTACTTTTATTGTATTTCTTATGTTATATTTTCATAAATTCTTTCCTTATTTCGTAATTTTTTTCATATTTCCGTAGGTATCAGTTGGATTTATATCCGACGATTGTAGCAGTATATGATGGCTATATACAAACTTCTTGTATGTTATTGGTTTTGGAATCTTTATCTTGTTAGAAGATAACTTTCTTGTGCTTTTAATAATAATTATCATTTAATTTATTTACTCAAACAGTTATTTTTGATAGTTAATTTTGATATTTTTGATTTTGATATCATATAATCAATAATAAATATTTCTAGTAAATATTCTCTTACCAGTGACATTCATGCAATCCTATACAAGTATATACTTCCATTTGTTTTGTAGTTGAATAGACTTTATGATCTATATTCGAATTTTTCTAAACTTTTGCATGTCTTTCAGTCGTTTTCAAATTGTTGAATCTGCATTTATTACTAATATAAGATTGAGTTTTTCAAAACTATGTTTCTGTGTAAATATTCTATCCTGACCAAGTTTATATACACCTTTGTATATCTTTCCGATCAGTAAAAAAGTATTTCCTTGTTACATTAATTATATTTTATTTTTCTTAATGCATTATAAATTGTCTCAGATGCAATTCTAATGTTATAATTAGTTTCAATTACATTTACGAGTTTTGAAGCATTTGTCTTTAAATAGACCTTCAAAATGTATAATTCGACTTTAATCTTTATAAAAGATCTTTTGTGAAATATATTTATGATTTTTTCAATATAATTGTATTTACTAAATTTATCTACAATATATTACAGTAATTCTATAATATATAAATGAAATTAAATTATTGCTCTTGTTTTTCTTTTGTTATTCTTATAATTACAATTACATAATTACTCACAAAGTGGAGATTTGATATAATTTTATTTTTTTCAAAATTATTTTAAACTTTTCGTTTGTTCTGCCTGCTTGCCAACACGAAAGTATCATAAGATCTTACCTTTATATGTGACCTAACCCATGTTTGTTTACATCGTATTATGTATTTTCATTCAAATTGTATACTGAGACTTACATATGTCATTTTGTTTAATTTATATTTAACACACACTGCGAGTCACAGACTGGGATATTCTATTTCACTTATATGCGATTTATTGATAAACGAGAGTCAAAGATAAAACATATGAACATATTTATTTTGCTTTTTACTTTATACTGTTGATTTATGTAATGTTAAAACTTTGGCTAATTTATCATATGGAGACTTACTATATGGATACTGACTATATAATTGAGGTAGATCATGCAACAGCTATTATATCCGACAATTTCTCTTTAAGAAAAAAAAGAAAATTGATATTGATTTCGGATAAGAATTAATTCTTTATGATTAATTGCTTTGTTGAAATAAATCTTTGTCCAACTTTATAGAACTAATTTATTTCAAACTATAATGTATGTGTTGTGTGTGTGTATGTATAAGAAATAAATATGTACGTTTTTCTGATCATAATCCATATAACTATGATAAAGATCGGGAGTCTCTTAATACGACTTTTTGAAGATGCGGAATTGAAGGTTACAACAAAGAAAGATATTTGCTTATTTTATCAAGTTACCACAATTTCTCGTCTTTCCTTCTCTTGTGTGATGCTTTTACTATACTTTACTCACACCGGTTATTTCATCAGTCGCGCGCAACGCAGGTTCAACATTCCGAAAGCATGTTGAACCAGTATACGTCGTTTGACTTATAACGCATAGCATATATTCGAGTTGTTAATGCCAAATTTTTTCGTTCAAAATTGGGATAGATAATTAATGCTCAAAGGAGTAACAAATATAGCTTAAATGTTAACGGCGAAAAGATCGATATATAAAGATATATATAATGGTGAAAAACGCGCATACAATTAACAATTGATGGGGGATTACTATAGATAAAAGTAAACTTTTTTTTTGAACAATTCAAATTAAAAGACTTCTTTTTTGCAATGCTAATTACTTTCTATTTTGAGATTCTATTCTATTTATACATAATTCAATTTCTATAAGTAATAGAATCGCTCAACTCGATTTAAAAAATCGATCTAAAAAATTAACTTATTTGGTAATCAATTTAACTTATTTTTTTTCTCTAATGTCTTTTCTCCGTATTATGATGTCATATTATCGCTATTTTATTTTGACCGAATTTCTTTCTCACAATCCCGAAGCATGTCGCTTTTATATGATATAGATGATTTTTGTGCTGTGTCTATCCAGTTTCAAAAATTGTTAATTGAATCTCTTAGTATGTAAAATTACACTCTAAATTTTAAAACTTCATTTTTTTTACTAGTCGTTTTGATCGCGATTTTCCACGTTACAATTGAATTATATTGATAGTTAGATGGAACTTGAATTTATATATTATTTGCGTTATCTTACGTTTGAAACTTCCGATGAAAAAATAATTGGTGATTTATTATCAAAGTAAATTCAATCATTCAGTTCTAGATATCTATTTATCGCAGTGATACCAAACTCAGTTATACAAAATATCCTGCATTTGTAGATTTATATTTGTATAATATTTTCTCATCAATACAATTAATTTAATATATATATACATGTGTGTACTAAAAACTGACCAAACATTTTAGAACCTATATTATTTTGCCCCACATATAAATAAGTTGTGATGTTATCGCGCTTGTTTGAAGGTGATAGTTATTTGGCTGACAATCTAGAAATCGGATCTATAAATTAGTCGAGTATGCATATCGCTATCGCCAGAACGGTGAAGTTATCAGTAAAAATATAATGATCCAGATCTATATAATTTACTGAAATACGACTTGATACTCTAAGGGAGGTCATTTTATTCCAGTCGCAAGATAAAAGAGAATATACATATTTTATTTTTTATTGGAATTATTATTTCTCATTATAATATATTATTCTTAGAAATTTTACTCAAAATTATATTACTTTTGTGTCGCCCTATACGAAGTTATCGAAGATCTTGATCACAGTGTGAATACCGCGACCGCACCTGCGTAACCGGTGAATAGTTCCAGTCAAACTGGTCCTCGACATTAACCACGTGTTGAAAATCCGCGAGTTGTAGTATTACTCCAATCGTACTGACATCAATAGCGCGTTCGCGTAATCCATATTTCGACTAATTTCGACGTGTATTGTTTCGAGTTCACTTTCGGATGTTACGTAAATCCATTTGGATAAATCTCGGTGATTATGACAAAATATTTCGAAAATATACGAAGAGCAACTCAATCATGATCAGCTAAAAGCATTGGATCGATTGACATTGTATGCTGATGTAAGTAAATAGTACGCGATGAGAATTTATTGCTTTAATAAGAATTTTTAATACATGCTGTTTTTTGAATTTTTGAAATTTTTATATTTTGATGTAAACATAGTGATGACATAAGATACCTTGCTTCATTGCTTTGATGATATATTTTAAAACTTTAGCGATTACATACTAGGCTGTCGAATATTTGATTTCGCAAAATATTTAATTATTGTTCCGTGTTGTTTTTATCGTCAAGTAATGGCTATATTTCAACTTAAGTTTGTATTAGGTTTATAATTTTTAAATGTATATATATTTGAAATTTTATTTTGTTATTAATTAATTTTATAATGAAAATTTAAGTCTTAAGTGCTAAAAAAAGTTGCATATTATTTTACTAACTTAAATGTCATTGTTTACTTTGCATGTGTGTATGTGTGTATGTATGTATATGTAATCTGCATACTATTTATGACACATTAATTAATTTTATAATGAAAATTTAAGTCTTAAGTGCTAAAAAAAGTTGCATATTATTTTACTAACTTAAATGTCATTGTTTACTTTGCATGTGTGTATGTGTGTATGTATGTATATGTGATCTGTATACTATTTATGACACACATCTTGTTTACATCTCGTTTACATATCGTTCTATATATTAGCTATAATTATGTTTCATTAACTATTTTTATCTGATTGATTCATAGCTTTGTTGAATAATTGTTGATAATTGAATCATTTATTGTTTCGTTATTATGTCATACTTGCGATCGTATTGCAATCATTGGATTATTATTAATTATTCTTCTATTCGTATTTATCAGCGTAGAGCAATGTTCTATCACGAACGGATTCATGGACTTGACGCGAATTGAATATCTGATTGATATGTGATTAATTTATTATTACACTTATAGCAATACTTTAGAGATCATTTCAATCAAGTTTTTTCCATTCAGTATTTCATATATATGTATATATCAATATATGTTAACGTTCTTAATTTATCGATATTCAGTTGTGTCACAGAGTTATATAAAATATTATGAAAAATTTATAGATTCTCTCTTCTCTTGTCTTTTCTTGAGTAAATTTTTATTTTAAATTGTGTTTTACAATTTTCAAATATTGTTATCATTATGTCTGAACGGAAAAATTGATAGTTATGCGCGAACTAAAGTCCATGGAATTTTACGTCGGCATATCGTCTTGTTTTACACGTGTTGTTTTTGTGTATTGATCGCTGATCAGCAAGTGCTTCACTTAAGATTATATAAACAGGATTGATCACCTATAAAGAGTATTACATCGTATCAACAAGATAATTAAATGAAATATCGTATCCCCTTATTAATTTCATTAAAAAAATTGTATTATAATCGTCATATATAAATATTATTATTGTGATAGACATCACTTAAGTGTTCGCCAAAGTAGTAGGAGCTTAAAAGCTGTGCATATCTACCTCGATTTCAGTATCAGCGAACTTCCAGTAACGGCAGCTACCGTGGACTCGCACTATGAATTCTCCAATTCATGTACAATTAGTGAAATGGACGGTCCCGGCAGTGGCTCTTGTCATCGCTTTCTTTTGGTACAAACGCCGTCGGATAGACAGAGCTGAACTTCAATGGAATGATACAGGGGGAATCGCGAAATCGAATCACGAAGAAAAAACTGTTCTGAGCGATACAAAGGAGGCTGACACGAGCTGCAACAACTCCAGCATTCAAGAAGAGATCGGTCAATCCTCGATCGACTGCTGTTACACCCCACGAGAACAGTCATCTCGTGTCCCAAGGAAGGTCAGCGAGAGTGTGGACATCCCAATTAAGAAATCAACATCGCAATCGTCTTTTTGTAGCAGTAGTCAGATGAGATGCATGGAGACTGACACTATGTTCAACATGGATGTACAGCTGAGCGGCAATCCGAACGCTAGCTACTTTGAACTGATCGCCAGGAGTCAGAACGTACCCTGCGAGTCAGACAGTACAATCGTGGACAACACAGCGGAGATATTTCAAGCTGTTGTTGACAAAAAGGAAGATCTGCATCGCGAGACGGAGTCACAAAAGTATATCGCGGACGAATATCATTATGAAGAGAATAAACAGCAAGTTGAAATACACACCATCGAGACTCAGGGACAAGAGGCCGATGAAAGAGACTCGGCCAATCACAGTCCGGTTTCCGGAGTTCTGGAAGGCAGCGTCACAGATGAAGCCAGGAGTGAAGGAAGCACTACGGACAGTGGAAAAGGTGAATTATTATCGATGGATTTATTTAATCTATCCATTTATTGGAAGAATTCTAGATATTCGATTCTATCTATAATATATACAAATAAAAAAATAAGGTAAAGCATCAAAATTCATAATATACAATTTTTTTTTCATAAGATACAATTTTTATTTTATCTAGGTGGAAGTATCAACGGATGCAGGAAGGATAATACTGTACCATCTATCTATGACTTTGCTATACCACAACATCTGGTCGGTAGATTGATCGGCCGTCACGGTAGCTTTTTACAAAGTATCCGTACAAAGGCCGACGTCAGCATATATGTAAATGATCACCCCTGCGATGGCGATCATAAGATTTGCTCGATACGAGGAAGTGTTGAGAGAATTAACGTCGCGCTTAAAATAATAAGGCAAAAGTTCCCAGAGAAAAGGTTTCCAGAAGTAACATTAGAGGAAATCTCCACGATACCTGAAGTAAATGAGGAGGTTCCATGTAACATCCCTTTGATACGCTCCCTGTCCCTAATTGATAGTGTTAGTAATGACGTCTATGTCTCTCACATCGTCAAGCCGAACTGGCTCTTCGTTCAGCTTTCGACTCACCCATCGTTCCATCTTCTAGAAAGCTTAGAAGAGAGCATGACGTGTTGGTATAATAACGCAGAATTACCGCCATCGGATGTTTTCAATAGTAAGTATTGTTGTTTATAGTATTTTATTGTATTTGTATAAGCAAAATCACAGAATATTGGAATCGCGAAATGCATTATTCTGCAGAGGGCGATTACGTGGCTGTAAATTGGAACGAAAAATGGGTCAGAGGCTATATTGAAAAACTAGACCCATCGGGAGAAAAGAATATAGTGCGATTAGTCGATCATGGTGGCTACTGGGTACTTAACAACTCGCAATTTAAGCCGTTGGTGATGGATTATCTGAGTAGTTTGCCTTTCCAAGCGATCGAAATCTTTATAGCGTATATCCAGCCAAAAAACGGTAACTATATATTGATGTTGTGTTAGCTCCTCTAAACTGTAAATCATTTCTTCTCAGATATATGATTATACGAATATATAATTATATGATTATTTCCATATTTAGGTGAGTGGTCACCAGAAGCTTACAATTCGGCATATCTTCTTTGTAAAAGCAATGGGATTGGTCAAGCTGTCATTGAATACCGTATTGAAGATAACGTTTATACCAATATTTATTTTACTGTCCAAAATTATGGAGTAAGTATTTATCACTCAAATATTACATGATAAAACTCTTTATGCTTTTAATATATGGACTCAAATTAATTAAATTTTTCAAGCTGATTTCCCTTGCTGAAGACTTGTTACTGAAAGGCCATGCAGAACATGTACCAGGGGAACATACGAAACTAGAAACACTTGAATCCATCTGTACATAAGAGTTGTAAGAAACTCTACCATTCTCAAATTTCCTACCGAATCATAACGCGTAATTCACAATTCTTAGCCAGTATTGACTAGAATCTAGTGTAATCGCCATCGGTAACCCTTTAACTGCGTTAAACTGTATTATTTTGTTCTTTGACTTTGTCTGATATTTACTGCGTTGAAGTCGCCGTGAATACCTTGACGTACATTCTTCCTTTAATAGGTTGAGTATCTACATAGAAACATAATAAGTAAAATAATGCAGTACATAAAATATTCTAATGTGAATAAGAAAATTATATTTCAGTGTACACAGAAGGTATACAGAAATCTTAATCGCGTTTAAACAGCATTTATAATACTCCTTTAAGTATTGCTCAGAAAGAACGCGTCCTGTAAGCATAGACTCGTGGATTCAAACGAGTTCTGACAAGTACAAAGGATTTGATTTAATCCGATAATATAAGAATTCTTTTTTATAGTAATTGTTTCTAAATTGTATTGCCTCTCAATTTTCTCTTTTTTACTTGGAAAACTTGAAATTTTTCACATTTATAGTTATTTACAGGACAAGTCTTTCAAATAGCTTCAAGTAAGCACTCAGGAATCTGCTTTTGTTGCCTTCATTGTAAATGTCTCAAGACTGTTGCAAAGATAAATGCAAAAATGTCATGTTTTCTCTTCTAAATCTCCATTATACTTTTGTACATAATGTAAAATATTTTTTCAATTGTTTATGTAGAATATTTATATGTAGCAAGTGAGAGAAAACCATAAAGAGAAAATATTGCTATATAATGTTAATCATAAAATAAAGTATAAATAATGACTGGATTTTACTAAATAGTGTCACACATCTTAAGTTGAAAATCGTATCGGATAACTCAGACGAATCTGGAAATTCGGTTCTACGTGACTCATATCCATTTCTGATTGTAGGCGATTCGGTAATTCATTAAAATATATATCATTGGTTTAATTTCGCGTTAATTTTACATTGTATCAAACTCGTCGTAAAAATTATTGTTAAATGTGATATTTCATTTATTATCCCGCGTGTTTTTTCAAATTATTTAAACGTAGTTGAGCTAATTTATATTCAAACGTTATTTTTCAATAACATATATTTTGTAATGTAACTTTATTATCGTGGTATAAAATAATTATTTTATGCTTATACTAATTGTTCTCTTAAACTGTATGATGTTTGAGATATTTTTTCGGCGTTTCAAGACTAAGCTTTTGGATTAATCCAAACGTATAATGTGTATATTTCATTGTTTACTAAAATGTCTATAATTCTATTTACGCGATTTGCTAACGCTTTTTTTCTATGCAAGATTTTGGTATAGTAGAACTTGATTAACTGAAAAAAATCTATTTCTTATGTATTGAGCTCAATTAAAAATGTAATTTGGCAATTATAAAATGTTAATATTGTTGATTGAAAATAATATAGAAATATTTTTCTAGGAAGATTATATATATACGTATAAGGTCACAGTCACTCTATATCGCTCACAATGTATATGCTTTTTCGCGCGCTGCGACTAAAACGTTATAATTTATTATATTTCTTTACATTAGCAATTCGATAATATAGCGACAATATAGCGCAATAAACATCGTCACGTGATGATCATTCATAATTAATTATATCTTGTACATATAATATATAATTGATCGCAATCTTTGACTTAAATTTTGTACACTGCTTCATTATATATATATATATATTAAATCAGTAAATTATAAGTTATTTTGTATATATACATTTCAGTATAACTTTTTAGAAGTTATCATCAAACCTGTGTATTATTTTCATTGCAAGTTCTTATATCTTTTATATATACATCTTTTATAAAATAAAATGTAATAAAAATTACAACAAAGAGAGGGTTATGCTAAGAAAGTTATAGAATTATGCTAAGATTTACATCATTGTTTCGTATTGCAAAACAGAAATAAAGATGTTAGTAAATGGCTAAATTATAGTATATTACAAATATTTCCCCTTCCCATATTTTTCTTATTTGCTGTCAAATAAATATAGTCGATTCTTTGTGTTCTAAAAAATTTATTTTACGTTTTTCTTTATCCAAAATCATTTTTTTATGTTCTGTTTTTCTATAAAGTATTCTCATCGTGCTTTTTCACTACTCATATTTGCCACGTAGTCACTGTAAGTCGAATTTTTGTTTTCTAAGGTTTTCTGTGTTCTATGTTTCTATCTATTTTCAAATCAGCTGTTTTCTTATTTGTCAAAGTTCATCTTTCTTCTTCCAATGTGAAAAGAAAAAGATAAACTCTGAATTAGTGTAGCCAGTTTAGCTATAAAGAACAGAATCTCTTGTATCGATCTTCCTTTTTCATATTTGCACGTGAACACGTCATCATATGTTATGAATGAAATCTAATAATAGAAAAACAGAGTACGTAACATTTGTATTCCGCGCAAAGTGCAGGAGAGGTGCAGTTGGAAAGAACAGATCTTACACGTGTCGCGTCTATACATCATTGTGAAAATACCATTATTTCATCTTGTTTGTTCTAAAAAAAAAATCATTTAACAACACGTCCTATAAGCGTGGTGCTGTGTCACGAGAAGGACAAGTATTCGTAAAGGGAAAAGTTATTCCCTTGTTTTCTCATATGTTGTGTTGATGTCCCGCGTGTATTTTTCGAAACAACTTTTAGTTTTCCTGCAAAAATTGCACAGTTTTTCAGATCGATTTATTGTGACTGATCGGATTTATACAAGCTTTTCGTAATATGATTTCTCTTGGAAATCACGAAGAGACCCGGCACTCTCGCGTCTTAATGCCGGTGTTCCTGAGTGCCTGCGCGATTCCGATCTCGATGCTCTTCTGGATAGTAAACGTAGCTTACTCGATACTATGGCCAGACACCAGAAACTTCACGGAAGGTTTTGTATATCCAATGATGAAAACTTTCAAAAACACTCGAATAATTATTAGGTTAGAGAATACGCACATATATATCCGTGTATATATATATATATATATATAACTTTGTGTATTAAACTGCTTCATTTAATTATTTTTTTTCGTGCTGCTTTTTGATATAATTAAAAAACAATTGTAAACATGATTCTCTTATGAAAAAAAATCCGCTAATACGTGGGTTGCATAACAAGTCATATAACTCAAATATGAAGTATATTTAATGCAGTATAAGCAAATTTTTTTTGCACTTTGCATAAAGAGAAATTCTGGTGAAATGATTGGCACTATCGATCTTTGTGCAATAAAATAAAATTTTTATTTGTACATCTCAACTGGCAGGTTGATGATCTTCATCGGCAAGAATTTGTACTTTCAAGAGATGACAGAACTATTACAGGGTTAAAAAAAATGGCAAATTAATTTATAAAGTGCGTAAACAATAGAGATTTATAAAGAAGTTATTACATCACTATATTATCATTACTCAATTTTTTACAGTGCGCTGATTATGCAAGAATAAATAATACACTTCAACTGATATATTGCGAAATATCCCAGCAATTTCTTATAAAGAATTTTTTTGTGTATCTATTTTTTGTATTTCTATGTTGCAAAGTTGCTCAATGTTCTTTTAATTTATAAACATTCACATTTTTATTGAGATAAAGACTATATCAACTTGCAAATCAAAATATATGATAAATAGAAATTTAATTTTGTTACTGAAATCCATTTTGATAATTATATAATTTCTTTTTAAACAATCAATGTTTCTGTTGATAAAAGTATTAGCTGTAAAATATAAACTATTTTTTGTTTTAAGTCATGTTGCATTATGTTCATAAATGTAATTGCATTGAAATTTATGGTATATTAATGATATTTTTCAATACTTGCAAGAATTATATTTCTATTTTAGAACACTCAGTTATCTCACCTTGGAGATGGTTGGCAGCAGTCTTTATTCCATTGTTGTTCATGTTCTGGGGCTTGCGTAGAAAAAGTCTGCATGTCAGTGGTGCAATTTTTGGTAATGAAATATCTATATAATTTTGCAATGTAAGAAAATGTAAAATAAAATACACACACACATTAGATAACATAAAGAATAAAATACTTGAGGTGCTGTTAAATCAAGATATATATATAATCAAATATTGTTTATATAATCAATCAAATAAATGACAACAACAAAAACATCTTTTGTTACTGAATTATGATGTATGAAATTATAAGCAACCATAAGACATTAAAAAAAAAGATTAATTAATTTCCACCTTAGGTCTCTTCGTGGGTTTTATCTTGACACTCTCGAGCTTTGCTCACTTATCAGCTCTTGCGACGTTTTTTGTCACTGGATCGAAAGTGACAAAGTTTCGGTCCGAACAAAAGAAAAAACTTGAAGCTGATTTCAAGGAAGGTGGCCAACGGACCTGGATACAAGTACTGTGTAATAGTGGTATGGCTACACAATTGGCTCTATTATACCTTTTGGATATCGGAAGCGGAGAAAGGCCCATCGACTTTGACAAGGAATATCGAAGCTCGTGGTTGTCCATTGGGATATTAGGTAACAAGTCAATGTTTTAATAGATAATATAACAGTATAATTATGATATTTCAATTTCAAAAAAGCTCGCTTTCATTTCCAAAGTGCAAGTTTAAAATTTTTAACTAATTTTTAAATGTGGTTTCCAATTTACTTCTTACAATTAGGAGCATTTGCGTGTTGCAATGGTGATACATGGGCTTCAGAGTTGGGTACAGTGATTGGCACAGGCGACCCTTTCCTCATTACAACAAGAAAAAGGGTGCCAAGAGGTAAGAATGTTAATTTTGTAGGATACCAATAAGGATAAATTCCGCATCAATAAAATAGATTTTTTGTATATGCAATTTGTAGTAAAGATTAATTATCGTTCCTTTTATAATAAAATTGTTAAAAATATAGTCAGTTTATTAGAATCTTTGCACTTTATTATTCAAGGAACAAATGGTGGTGTATCATGGATAGGTCTGTTATGTTCCACCATTGGCGGTTTAATAGTTGGGCTTATCTATTATATTGTGATATTAAATACTGTCGATACGGCTGTGTTACAACTAGCAGCACCACAGTGGCCTATCATAATTATCGCAGGATTCGCAGGCTATTTTGGCTCCATTTTAGATTCCGTCCTCGGTGCGACTTTACAATATTCAGGTAATGTAAATATATTTTCAAATCTTGTATCATCTTTTTTAGTGCTTTAAATTCAGAATTCTTAAAAATAGTTCCTAGTATTATAGATTATCATACCATGTGTAATATATAATCGACTTTTTAGGAATGGATGAAAAAGGTTTTATAGTAGACCGGCCGGGAAAAGGTGTAAGACATATTTGTGGTAAACAACTCCTAGATAATCACAGTGTTAATCTCCTTTCTAGTATTGGTATCGCTCTTGTTCTTCCGAGAATAGCCAATATTTTCTGGCCATAAAATTTCAGATTTATTTAAAAACATAATATTAAATTATTAATATTTTGTTATCAAGTGCATTTTTATTTTGACCTACATAAAAAAATTTTCGCACGATTTTGTATATCTTGTATATTTTTCTAAACTGTTTTACTCAGGGATGAAAGAATTACTTCAAGAATTAATAAAAAAAATCTTACTTATATATAAAATTATATTTATTTCAGCAATTTTTAATATAAATATGAATTAAAAACAATGATAATATTTAAACATTGACTTCGCAAATAAGTTAATTAATTAATTGAGTTTTTATTTATTTTTTGTTTAATAAATATTGATTAAATAATTAATATATATGATCTTATATTATTCTGCTGTTCTTTATAATATTCTACGATATCATTTAATGAAACATGGGTTATAAAAAAATACTTTACAAAAGGCTCACATTTTTATTATATAATTTACATGCAATGTTCACGCGGCATTACTATTCGCTGCAACTATATTTCTCAGATTGAAGATATTACTAGAACAAATTTATAGGATTATCTTATGAAGATGTTTTCTACATCTATAATATGATGTATATAAGAATGATGATACAACATGATATATTATTTGTGAAACAGCTCAAAATAAAATCAGTATTCTTATATATTTATATGTAAAATATGCAAGATGTATATAATACACAAAGAATCATATTTTCTTCAACTAGAATTTTTTGGACGAAATTACAAATGATTGCTATTGAACATTAATTTTATTTTTATAATTTAGAATTAAAATAAAACATTTTTTGAGAGAGAGAAACACAAATTCACACATATTTTTGACCGTAATAAAATTTATCTTTAAATAACAAGTTTGAAATTAATTTAATTAAAATATTAAGTTTTTTACTCATATTCTTGTAGATTAATAGCTAAATTCGTCTTCCAACTATTATTCAATTAAAATACAATATAGAGAATTCTCAGGATACATTATTAAAATCTAATATGGAGATAAATAACATAAATCAGTTGTCATATCAGAAAATAATATCAAAATTTAATATTATTGTTATTATATAACATTTAAATATGTACTTAATTTTTATCTCATATTCATATAAAATAAGAGATAAAAACATGGAAAATTTTACGTTGTATATTACAAAATTTTGTAATTTGATCAGATAACTCATATATATATA